GTCTGGGTAGATTCCGCATTAAACTCTCGCAAGACGGAGAGCAAAAAACTAATTCGATGCAGGCATTTCTGCTAACTCATTGCAAATGCGACACTCGAACTCAAATCGTCAAAAATTGCACCGTATAAAGTTGCAGGCAATATTGGCGCTGCTGTGGCAGCCCAGCTGGTTGGTTCGATTTACAAGTATGCGAAAGTGATCGATTTTAAAGCAGGCGTGGCTCGCCGCATTTAAAATGCGCTTTGCAAGCCTTGCGCCACACTGTGCCGTGGTTGTCTTTGTCGCTTTGGTTGTCGTTGGCAGAAATGTCGACGTCGCGTGGTCTAGTTGCTGCAACTAGCAGCAAGATTTGAAATAGCTTGTATCTCTGTATGTATGTTGGTGAGTGTTGTGTCTACATCTTATGCAATATTCTCAGTTTGACCTACTTTTCGTGCTAGTTGTGTTTTACTTTTTGCTGTGGTCGAAGTTGGCGTTGCTCGGCAACATTCACTGTGACCAAAAACAATTTAATCGTAGCACGTAGTGTATATTAAAGTACAAAATATATATGTATATATAATATATATATGGGTATCATATCTTAATAATATCTTGAATAGTAACATACATTTTGTTTTGGCGGGAGAAACAAAATGTTATTTTATAACAAATATAAAAGACACACAAGGAATGTACCAACTTTTTACTCATGAGAGAATATATAATTCTGGAAACTACAATAACTACAGTATTTTTAGTACGTTTAAATGCTGCGGCCAACAGTAGTAAGAACTGCAAGTTTGCTCAAATCAAATGCCAAAAGTTTCATATTGCAATTCACAGTCAAGACGCTAAGAGGAGCCGTGATTGTCTCCGTTACCATTGCCTCCTCATGTGATGTGTGCTAAATATTAAAGGCTCTTTACCAACGTTGGTTGATACATACAGGTGGCTGTCCTTTTCATCATGAGCAATCTAATGGATCGACATGGCAACGTCAAGGCTATAAGCAAGTTTGGCTGTACATACAGGTGCTTCTCCTAAACTTTTCCAATATTAATTTACTCCATGGTATTTTTAAATTTAAAAACAAGAACAAGAATTTTATTTTGAAAGGCTTAATAAAAAGCGTTTTAGCACGTTGATGTGCTTTCGATTATAGTCACATAATGTAAACCGTTGTTAAAGTAGCGTACAAATGGAAGAATTTTTAGGCCCACATTTGATAAAATAGACAAACAAAAAATGTATATGTGGCAAATCAATGCTAGCCAGGAGCCTTGTTATATAACTACCAAAAACTTGTACGGCTCTAGTGCAGCCAATGTTTTGAGAGGGACTCACAGCTGACCGTAGCAACTGTAGTAATAAGTCGAAAACCAGGCGAGTGTTGCATAGTTGTGTATTTCCTGTTTGTGGTGCATAAAATAGTGGGTTACAATATACTCTCACTTTTGCGGCTGGTACATACTATTGCATATCAGTGTCTTTTTCAGGTATCGAAACGAAAGGCAACTGTACTGTACTATTTTTGCTTCAAGGCATGTCTAGTAGCTTTTAGGCACAATCCCGAATATTCTTGTAACGATTCCACACGGCAGACAGATTATAGATATTTATTGGCACCTTATTAATATAAAGCAAAGAAGCTCAATTTACCATAGTTAGGTTTGCAATCTTTATTTATAACAAAACCTGCCGCGAGATGCAAATCAATAACGTAATTTATTGCCTTTCACATGATAACAAAATTTATTATTTGAATATATATTTAAACTGAATATTTATTGCGCTTATATTTAACCTGAGCTTTTCTTATATTCATAACACCATTATACGATTTGTAGATAATTGAATCTGCTACCGAAATACAAACATAATATTTGGTGGCCATGTAAACTATATATAATAGTTAGTCATCAGCTCCATTCAACAATTTTGAGCTTCTTAGGTTTATATTATGTGTGAAGGCATTTATTGTAGCCTTGCACCCAGGAAGTGTCTGTAACGTTGGTATATTAGAAAGGAAAATCCCAACTGTCGGTCACAAATTTCCTGCGCACATGCAAAGTAATCGTTGGTCAGCTCTCAAATGCTGGTAACAAAAGAAAAAGCAACAGCGTAAACTGTAGCAAAACTTTGGTTACTCGCCGAAATTGTGCCTTGAGGTCTCTGATACGCCTTCTCATTAAATTGTGCAATCGATTAAAAACTGAAAGCTGACCAATGGTTGTTTTTCATTTATAAAGCGTGCGTTTAATTGTGAACCGCATCTAGCTGGCGATTTCATAATTAATTTGTAATTCTTAGTCAAACTATTTTGCCCTATCAAATAAAAGTAATCAGCGACAAACTGAAATAGGACTTATAAAAAGCATTTATATATTGCTGTGCAGAATCCACTGCAGTTAATAATGTGAAGCTCCTTAATTTAAAAGTATTTTGGGATATAATAATTATTCGAAATAGAATTTCAATATTAGCTAAATGCTAGCTGTTTATAGCATTGGTGTATTTTATTTGTTGGGATAAGGCTGTGGCCTTGTTTTGAACGTTTTAAATTAAACTCGGAAATTAATGACCTTAATAACAAATTTAGTGCCCGGAAGCCGTAAGTTCGATGTATTAAAGCTACATAAATTCGTACAAATTGACAGAAAAGCGTATCAATAGATATAATGTACAATTCAAATTGCCCGAGTATTTGTTGGGCTGCCTTTTTATGTGCAATATAGTACTTCACTTTCAATAAAGTCGCGTAATGTGCTGCTCTTATTTTTGAACAAGTAGAGCAGCAAAAAGCGAAGCAATCGACAAACGGCGAACAAACTCACGAAAAAAAAGCCAATCAGGCTTATGGCCGAATTACTGTACATTGCATAACAACCCAGCCACGCTCTAACTCTAGCTAAGCAAATCCACGTACACACTTTGTTTAGTGGAGCAGAAAGTACAAACAGCAACAATGAGTTGGCAGTTGTGTTGCCAAGTGTGTACTGGCACTGGCTAAGACAAATGTCATCCTAGGCGATGGCGGCTTTATACTTTTGCGTGGCCGATTGCCATTGGCACGTGATTAGCTTACTTTTTGCGGCACTGCCAGCCAGCTGCATATATCACTCAGATAGTCGGTCAGTGCTGCGTTTGTCAGGCGAGACTGAAAGCTACGACGCTTTTGCTCGATAATTATACGCTTTGTGGTGCGTGCTGCATGATAAATAGATCTTATCTACCAGCCTTGACATGATTGTGCACATTAGAAAAATAAACACATAAACAAATTAGAACACTTTGGGAGGGCTGTGCTTACCTTTGAGATGCTCGTCCATCTTAATCGATTAAGTAATATAGATACATAATATAATGTTTTAAAAATATTGATTTATTTAAAAAGAATCTAAGATTATATTTTTGCCTTTAATATGGTGCAGTCAACTTATTATTTTTGTTGTCTCTTGCTTTTATTATATATTGAGATCAAGGCATTCAAATGGATGGGAGACGTGGCCTTTAGTATTTTACATGTACTTGCATAATTTTATTTACTTAAATCTCATGCTAATTAGATGTCTATAAGTATTTAGAAAGACGCACAATTTTTGATTAACATGATTTCAACGAATCATCTACGCCCAATTATAATAATGATGAAATGCATAACGCGGTAATCGTGGCTTTATATGGCTTAGAAACAATTAATGGGTACAATAGAAAAGTGAATGTAAATTTGTTTGGGAAAAGGTGTCTCTATCAACCCAACTATATTGTATTACTTGAAAAATATAAGGTGCCTCTCGTGCCGTTTCATGGCTGGTCAAAAGTGCAACTTAACTATAACTTGTTTTTGTTTGTAAAATGCTCACGTCGCAATTAAAGTGTAGCAATATAATGCTCAGTTGCAGTCCGCCGCTTGTGTGTATAAGACAGTGTAGGTGGCTCTATATAAATAAATATATATATATTTATATAAATAAATATATATATATATATATATATATATATATATTTATATAAAACAACTTTGTCGACTATATAGCTATGGCTTACATTCTAATCATAAGGTCTTAAACCAAAATCGAACAGAAATCGAAGGTTGTCTTTTATCGTGTCGAAACGGACTCCTTGCATAAATTTACTCTGTTGCAATTCGGTTAATTTATTAGCTGTGGTTTTAGCTGTCAGTACAAAAATATTGCAAAGCAAGATATATGCTCAAAATGCTAAGCAATAAGAGCAAAAACAACTTCCGCCCCAATTACTAAATTGCGCCCATTGCTTGGGCGAGCCACTCAAATTGGTCGCAGCATTGGCTTAAGGCTGTCTCAGTTATTTTGGCTTTGTTTAATATTTTGCATGACTTTGGTTGCAACGAATTGGTTTCAATTTAAATTCAGCTTCAATTGTTCGAATTTTTTAAAAATAAATGATACAGTGTGGTCTTGCGACTGGTTTTCTGCGCAAAAGGTTATATTAATGGATCAGCTATTATACTCTGTTCTCAAAAATAGTATATTAGTGCTCAGCTATATGGAGATGTTGAGATACTTTAAAAAAGTTTTTATTTTTATTTTTAAGCGAGTAAAAAATTTTATTTGTTTTCCAAAATTACCAAAAATAATTTACGTTACCCATAACTATATTTTAATTCCAAAACAACTTACAGAAAAAAAATGGTGAAGCTAATATGCTTCTTTGGAATCTGTCTTGTTTGTGAATATTCATAAAACCATGACCTAAAATAGAATTTGAAAATTCATTCTCTTAATAAATCCGAACGGTCAGACAGAAATTATTGTACCAGTTTTCTTTAATTTTGATTGAACAGCTGATACTTATTTCTAACCAAATCAATCGGATTAGGAAAGTAAGGCCATAGTCAACTTAGGAAAAAATCAATATTCAAATAGAACGAAAACAAGTTAATTTTATCCAGATATAACAACTATGAATGTATAATAAAATTATATATATATATATATGCAGTAAATTATAAATATCTTGCGTTGTATCCTTCGCAGGGTTGACGAATGCACAAAGCAAACGTACACCACGTGTCACTAATTCACGCAGTTTTAGCACCAATGTTAAGTCTACCAGCTCAAATGGGGTTAGCTTTGACTGTCCCGAAGAGTTTGGGTATTACCCTCATCCCACGGACTGCACACAGTATTACGTATGCGTATTCGGTGGTGCGTTACTCGAGAGCTGTACTGGAGGTCTTATGTACTCGCATGAACTGCAGACTTGTGATTGGCCCAGAAACGTGGGTTGCGAACTGGTGGATAGTGGCACGTCGGCCACCTCTACCGAAGTAGGTAACGCCTCACGTAATAAGCCACAGCAACATGTTCCCAGCCGCATTCGCTTTGGGGCCGCCTTCACCAGCCCTGCAGCTACACAAAAGACAATCACAGTCCCGCCACAGTATCATCGTTCACCTCCACAAATCATACCAGCGCAGGTTCAGCACATACCACCGCCCCCAGAATTGGCCGTATCACCAAATCCGGTGGTCACGTCACGCGGACAACCAAAATCGCTTCTGGACTCGCAGGAGGAAATAGCTAAGGTAAACCATGGCCAAAAGACAGCAACGTGATCTCAAATAGTAATTTTATATTTATATACCATACAGCTCTACGCTGAGGCACAAGAAACGCTGCCACCAGTTGAAGAGGAGGAAAGCGATCGTCAGCAACGTGTTTATCGTGGCCAGCCGAGTACTGTTAGCCAAGTACAGCGGGACCGCGATGGCATCCTACACCAGGCCAGCATAAATGCTATACCCAATCATGGAAAAATTGGGTCCTACACGTTCGGAACAGCTTACAGGTAAGTTATGTGCCATTTAACTTCCGCTTCATCTGTAGTGCTTCATCTGCCGTCGCTTAAAAACTAAATTTATTGTCTATTGATGGTAATTTACTTTTTGCTATATTTTAAAAAATGCATAACTGATTTTGAATTCTTTTCAACCCATTCTACCACTCTTTTTTCTTATACAATGCATACTGCACTATTTATATATTTTACTGCAAACGACACAACAACCGACTGAATATGATTTTTGGCTTAACTCTGTACGCAAACAGCGAAAGCTTGGACGACGACGTGATAATCGAACACGAACTGTCACATAATCGACTTGATGTATACAGAAGACGCAAACGACGCGATGTTAGTGGGTTAATGCTGACTACGCCAGAGGAAACATCTGTCCCTACTGAAATACCAAACGATTCAAATACCTCTAGCGAGGTAATGGAGTCCGATAGTGCCAACAGTACCCAACAGGGCAGTGGCGAAACGACGAATAATTCCAATAACTCGAATAACTCACAAGAGCAGTATGATGAGGCAGCGCCATTAGTCTCTCAACTGCAAAAGTACTCATCAAAAATCAGTCAATCTGAGATTGGTTTTCCTTATACGGACGCAGACTACAGTGAGCATGTCGAAGACAACAATGATACGGTTACAGGGGAATCAAAGCGACGTGCTCGTCAATTGCGGCCCTTTCCGCATGCAGCTGTTAAATGGCCGGCGCATGGCTACCGATCCGTTGACCCACCATTTCAGCAGCCGTACATTCAAAAAAATAGCTACAGTTTTGGTAGCTTTAATCCCTATCTCACTCCACCAAGCCAACAAGCTCACACCAATCAAAACTATAATAAACTAAACCCAGGTCCTGGATATAAGGCTTATCCCCAGCAGCCACAACAGCAGGAACCTGTTGCGCCATATGGAAAAAAACCAACTTTGGTCTACACAGGCTATAATTTGTCACTACCTCCGCCTCCGTTGGAAGATGACTTTCGACCCATTGCAGGTAACTACTATGGTGCAGCCAGCTCGACAAGCTCAAGGCCACCAGGTGGTTATCAAGAAGAAACGAGCCAAGCCGATTTACTACCCTACCTCATACAACAGCTTAAAGAGCTCAAAGAACGCAGAAAACAAATACAAACTGAAAATTTTGCGTACTTTCATTTAGACAATCAACCTATTGCCCCCACCACGCACAGCACCACCCCACGGCCGTCATTCGAGTACTTTTCCACGACTAAGTCAACGCCCCAAGTAACGCCAAACAGCCACAATGCGCAATACAGCACCATGGGTGGATTTTACAATAACAACCCGGATTATGTGCCAAGCACATCAAACTATTCTGGCAAACTGATATCTCAATACAGCATTACTCAAAGTCCAGAGCCACAGAGCACGACAGAGAGCAATTACTTCCAATATAATATTATTGCGAATCAAAAGATGAAGGGCGTATACAATACTGCCAAGTTGAATCAAATAGACCATGCCGCAGTAAAGGTGCGCCCACCGGTTACGCCACTACAGGTGACACCCAACTTTAATATTGTTTCGGCGCCTAATTTAGCTTACAACAAACCTAATGACCTGCAGCTAATACCTTTCCGAGATTTGTCACATTTGCCAGTCGGAATCAGCTATGCTTCAAATACTACCATACCAGAATCGTATCAGACTTTTACCAAATCTATCAGCTCCACTGTGCCTCCCAAGCTGGACTCACACAAACCTCCGACAACTGCCAAGCCTCAGATGACAAATTTTCAATTTAATATTAACGAATTTATGGCAAACTTAAAAGCTAGTGATCTGGCTAGCTTTAATCCGGCTGTAAACCCATTAATTAAGTATTTTAAGCAGGTAAGCAATGATGGAAGTGGCAATATTCGCAATGCCTTGATTCTTCGCAGACCCGTCAGCAGCTCGACGCCAACTAGCACAATAACAACCCGAGCTCCTTTCAAATCCAATTCAACACCTACAAAAGCGTCGATAAGCTCAACTACTCAAGCGTCGACTACGCCTAGTCTTAAAGGTTATAAAGTTTTCGTAAAGAATACGCAAAATCAGATTAACAAACATATACCTGAACCAAATCAATCAACGACGACCAGCACACCACGATCACGGAACAGTGGCAGCAGAACTACCACCACTCAGAGAACTGTCGAATACTACGACGAGGATTACGATGATGGAGTTGATGAAGACATGCTGCCACCGTCACGCATGCCCCCCTACATGCCCATGTCAGAGACAATGGCACCACCTCGTCCACAGGTCACAACTAATGTACCACCCACGACAAGGGCAAGCAAAATTCGCCCCAGCGTACAAACAGGATTTATGGAAGCCACAACAACGCGCCGGCCATTTCCAAATTTTTTACAATTCAATCAGCCCAACGCAGGCATTGGAGTTCCTGCGTTCATCAGCTTTCCAAGTGACATATTTCAAGAATTGAAGCAGCGACTACCACAATTGCAAGGATCAACAGACGTCAACACTCAATCTACACTACGCGTTCGCATTACCAATACAACAAGCACTACAACGCCTACAACGCTTACGACCCCAACAAGAATCCGATACACCGTGCGACCACAGCGCGTGCGCGGACAACAGAAGTGGCAGGTCCAAGCTGTGAATAACCCTGACGGATTACAACGAAAGCAAAATGAAACCGGCCGAGGGGCTGCCTACGCCAAGCCAGGTTCAAGCAATGATGGTTTGGGCGGCCAGCACTTGAACTCGATACATATCAGCTCAAATACGGAAAGACAAAGGTAGTTATAAAAGTCGCGGAAAAAATGCTGTTCAGTTATTTGGTGCCGCTACACAAAAACACATAAGTACGGCAGTTACATGTACATAATTTTAAATATAAATGCCACTGCCCTTTAAGGCGCTACTGTTTATACGTTTACGTTCAGACCTTACCCATAACCAAGAAATCTAAACAGATGGAACTTACCAAACATGTACAGTTGACTAAACAAATTTTGTAGGGACTGGGCCAATCTAACCTAAATTTCAACCGCTACTTAACTCATCCTTTATGACTAATACTTTAAACTACTAAACGATTCCACAAAATATACAAACCACACAGATTTAATTATTTTTTGATTTCGTTTTGCATTTTTCTTCCCCTTGTAATATATGTAAATTACCATTGTCTTTACACACATACATATGTATTATATAATGACATCAATAATTTAAATTATTTAAATTATACTTGTTAATGTAAATAACTTGCGCCGCATACTCTTCCCACATAATTGTGTGTAAAGAGTTGAGTCATCTTCTCCGTCATCGCTGACGGCGCAAACTTCCGATAACATATTTCTACAACCAAGCTCACAAGCTTCGCCGTCACAGTTTGCATCCAATCGTAACTACTACAACACATCCATATTCAATCATGGGGGTGGCTACCAAACACCACAGCAGGCGCAACAACAACAACAACCGTCACCATTTCAACAACCGCAACAACAACAGCAACAGGCACCTGCCTTACCAAACCCCTATGATTCATCATACTATTCTGTTTACGACGACGATATTGATTTATATAGGGACATTGAGTATCAACAGCAGCAAGAACAGCATCAGCAAAAGTCCCAGCCATACCAGTCCACAGTGCGTCAACAACAGCAATCAACTTATAGACCGTTAGAAATATTGACTACGCCGACACCACCCCAAAGACCAAGCTACAGTAGCCAGCCCACTTTAAGCTATAATACGGACTATGATGAGGATCTCAATGCACAGGTAACCGTTATTAATAATAAGAAGATGTTCGTTAATCTTGACAATTAATTTTATTATCATATTTAATAACTCATCGTTCATTCAACAGATCGAACAGGATAATGTGTACGATCAACCTACGCGAACTCCGCAACGGTAAGTATTCTCTCGTTTGTAAACGCAATTCAAACTGAAATTCTGTAGCATCTTGTTAAATACATTACATTTCATGCATCACAAGTTAACTAGCTCGCTGACAAATCTTACTTAAAAACATTTCAAAATGTTATGTAGCAAATCTATACAATGTTCTTGAGAAATTAAGCTTAATAGCTTTGAAAACAACATAAGTCCAGTTAGCTAGCGTATCCATGAAAAGTACAAAAGTCATACAACTCAAAAACAAGTAAAACCACCACAACACCAAATGCATCAAAATTTACACACATTTTCATCTCTAAACTGCAACTGCTACACGTAAAGAACTATCCACGACAACCAACCTACAATAAATCTCTCTACCAGGGCCGAAGCGATGACCATACAAGCCCTGGACACGAGGACAACTGCCTCGACGACTGAAAGATCAGCTGCAAGGCCTGATGGGCGCAACTACTACGACACATTTACCACACCTATTACAAACTATGAAGAGACCGATTACAGCTATTCCAGCTCAGCAGAGTATGCCCAAAATTTACCCGCGGACTACTATCAAAGCGAGCAAACTCTAGTGAAGACTAGGCCGAGCACTCAAGCTCCGAAATCAAAAAATACGGACGATTATTATCTGATTGCCAATGATGTCGCACATTCTACTTCAGCTTTTAAAGTAGATCCGACTAAGAAGTACACGACAATGACACCCACACGTCCTCCGATCTCAAAGTCATCTTCAGTACCAATCAGGAATACAAACAAGATTGCCACAACTACAACACAAACAGTCACAAAGCCACCTGAAACCACTACAACAACAAAAACAACTACATTGAACCCTTCCAGGTACATTCTACTCCACAATTAGTCAAATGTTATACTTCACTTATAAATACCTGACTTTCTAGACATTCTTTATAATAGCCCACCAATGCCTTATTGGCTTTTAGATGATAAATATTTATAAGCATCTCATTTCATCAAATCATATGATTTTCGATTACATCGATGGCACTTAGTTCCAAAATGCAATTCGAGTTGGCTTTACTGCTACTTATGTATTTAAAAGCGCGTATAATTTCGTCAGTTATACTTTGCTGTTCATTTTATGCTACAATTTGGCTACATTTTACGATTTACCCTAGTTTTCTTTGTGTTCTCTGAAAGTGTAGTGCAAAATTTTCAATAAGATACGAATGCTCAAATTCATTGCATGATCTTCATTCACAATATCATGTATGGTTGCGTATAATGTAGCAATTAGGTATTTCGCGTATGGCTTCGTGAAGTTCGCATGGCATGCGCTTTATAATATGATCTAGAGAAGTAAATGAGCGGATACTATTCCAATTAAGAAATCCAAAAGATTCAGATATATCGTTATATTGTAAAAACATACACATACATACAAATCAAACTGGATATGATACTAACACTAATGTGATTGTTTATTATAAATACACATTTCTTCAACAGCTCAAAAGCGCATGCAAATAAAAACTTTAAGCAAAATGTTATAATCAAATTAAAGACAACCACATCACCACGTACCACACAAGCACCCAGTACAAAATCCCCAACGACCAGCACAATAAAGAAACCGTCACTCCCCACATATGACTCCAATCCCTTTCTCAAATCCAAACTTCAATTTCTGGCCAAGTCCCTGATCAGTGCTGTGGCTGGCAGTCAAAGCCAAAATATCAATGACACAAGAACTCCGACCCAAGTCCAATCTACAGTCACACCTCCATTCAGCGAATCGTGGGCGTTGGCAAATGACAGTGCAAATAGTAGTAGTACTCAAAAGTATGTTGAGACAATTTACGATGAAACCCAGAATGTGCAGAATGTCCAGGGGGAAGAGATATCTAGTGGTCGTAATTTTGACACAATCACATCGCCCAAGTTTCTGGATTTCATCAATGCCGCAGCTTATGGAGCCAGCAACTTAGTGCGCGCGCCCACAGAAAAGTCATTTAAGACTCTTTACACAAGGGAAAATATATACAACGGCCTTGAAAAAGACAAAGCAATATCCACCGAGCAAAATCAAAGCAAACGTATACAAAGCTATGTGCTCTCCGATGTTAAGCCCCAAAGCTTTAGGCCAACTATAAACAATTCGTCAAGGGCTGCGTCATCGGACCTGTTAGATAGCTCAAGTACAGCAAGACCCAACAAAGCATACGAGTATAGTCTGGAAAGCGGTTCTCATGGATTTACCTTAAAAGCTAAGGAATCGCTAAATGAGGAGAACGTGTCTGAGCCACTGTTTGAACGCCCTGAAAGTGGGCAACGCCTTAAGCCCAGCACAACAACAACAACAACACGTTTGCCACATACATTAGTCAATCATGTTAGCACGGAGAATGAAGATATTATACCTACAACGTATGCCCCGTTACGTATTTGGCGCAACGGCCGTCCAACTATTAAGCAAACACATAGGAAACCGACCAAAATGCCATTATTAAGCGTCACTGATCTGTCCAGCACTACTGCGAAAGCAACTACCACAACAATAAAAGCACCTAATACTTTTAGTTCTAGTACCGAACGAGCGAGCTCTGGACAAAGTTTTACATCCCGTGCAAATATATTCAAGGATAACCTTAACCGTGCTACGAGCAACCCAGGAATGAGATTTGTTTCGCCCTATAAGAGCCTTGAAAGTTTGCTTCAAGACGAAAGGATGCCACACAACAGCCTCAGAACAACAACAAGAACACGCTATGCAAATGCTCCTGCCTCAATACCGTTTCTCCAAACAACGCCAAAGTCTACACACAATAGCTTTCCTACAAACATTATTCAAAACAATGCCACTCAAATTGTCCTTGAAACTATGACAAACGGCAATATGCGCAACTTTAGCATAAGTGATGTAATTCTAAGTACTTTCAGTCCTCAAAGACCAAGCTTGCCGCGTGCAACTACAACAACCACTGCCAAAACCACAACCACAAATAAAATACCCACAGAGGCTGCGCTTACTACTACAATTTTAGAACCAACAGTAGCTACAGTAGTGACTTCGCCCTCAATACAGGTGTCTGAAATCGCAGTGCGTGCACGTGGCCGGTCGCGGTACACGGCAGCTACCATCAGCTATAATTTAGATAGTGTTGACGAGCCGACCACTTATGCCCCTAAATTTAAGATACCCAATAGCTATGAACTGAGGAGCTCCACATCTAAACCACTTTTAAGACGCAAAGCGCATCGTGGTCGAGCTGCTACCAGCCTCCGGCAAACGATATCCGAACCGACAGCTAGGTCCGGAGAAAAATATGAAACTTATAAAGCAGCTCAAAAGGCCAAAGAGACGGTTTATAGGTATCAAATAGCCCCATCCTCTGCAAAGCCAATAACTGCTGAGGATACAAGTTCACTGAAACGCAACCCAAATGAAAACGAAGCCTTAATCTCAGATACCCCGCGTGCAGAAGCCCTTATTGCACAGCAACCACTCGAAAATAAACATAACAATAGCATAGAACAGAGCATTAGCACAGAGACATCTGCTAGTTCTATCCAAGATGTTCATATTATAACCGACCGGCCACCTGTTAAGTATCTATATTCGAACAAATATCGGCAGAAAACAGCGGAGCGCACACTGGCGGATAGTCTGCAGAATGCCGGGTACATAACGACGGCGAACGGACGAACCAAGTTTCGTGCTACCAATGTGCTGGAGCAGCTGCAACATTTTCTTTCCGCCAGTGACAGTGATGAGAGCGGGTCATCGCAATTCGTTGATGAAGTTTATGGTTCAGAAATAAAAGCTTCTGTTAATGAGATAACACCGGGCTTTTCAACAAACCGTAGTGCAATGACTACAATGAGATCCACTACTGCCATGTCTGCATCACTGCCAACCACACGCGTCCCACTTTTTGCATTTAAGTCGACAGGAAACCCATCCAAATCATATACCCCAACCCCTACTATTAGCATAATAGAAACAGATGCAACAAAGGCTAACATTAGCATCCCAGATATTAGTACTGAACCTGTCCCTTCAACTACGACTGCCACTCCCTCTGTAACTATATCTTCTCCACCAACAACACGAGTTTCGAGGGTAAATAACGCCTTGAAGTCGTCAATTGCCGCTGCTGCCGCCCAATCATCTAGCCCGGTCTCAACCTCATCCACATATCAAATGCCAGGGGGTAGAGCTAACAAATTTCAATATGGCCTTGCCTCCAACAGTAACAACAACCAACACCAATACAACAACAACAATGCCGCTGTCGCTGCTGTCTCGGTGAAGTGCTCCGATAGCACACTGAGCCCTAAGTGCAACGAAATCCCCTCAAGGTATAAATAGCTAATTAACGCTCTGTAGTAGCTGTCACCTCTGCATTATCACTCTCCTGTCTTTTTATACAAATTCACCGTAATTTTGTTTTGAACACAGATATAGTCTCCTAAAATAAACCCAACAACTGTACTTTTATGTAGTATTCTTTTCTCATTACCCACATTCACCCACTTGTAGACTTCTGGTTGTTTGTTGGCTTTCTAGTATGCCTTTAATTTTTATTAAATTAAACAACCAACTGGCAAAATGTCTTAAAATTTTTTCTGACCAAAATAATGCCAAGATCCATTAAAACTATATAGTTTTCGCCTTGTATGTTTTCGTAGATTTTTAATGCAAAGATACATAAATACTAAATATTAGCTGCTCTGTAAAATGTTGCAACAATGTACAAAACGGTGAGCATTAGTACGTAAACAAATCGTAACCGTTAGGTGGTGGCCAGTTTAACTCTTCATATATTTTTGTCTATTGTCTATTATTATTGTGATCTTTTCATTTTGATTTTATTATGATATTGGCACACTTTTTATTTTTATTTTTACGTAAACGATTATAATTAATACATACCGATGAAAATATGTATGTATGTACAATTCACAATTATGTGTAAACTGAAAAGTTAAAATTTCAATTTGCAAATTATGATTTCACATATATATCATTTTGTCTTTAATGTGAAGCATGTAAGTATATGGCTCGTAAATAAATAGCTAAATAAAAAAATTTAAAAGACCCCTAAAAGAGATTAATTACAGCTATAAAGTTATTATTTTGATGTCGATCTGCATTTGCACATTTTACTGAGCTTTAATATAGTATTTCTGTTTCTAATCAGTGTTGACGAGGGCGTGGAAGTTTTAAGCGGCTTTAGTAAATCTGCCCTTAAACTTCAATAAAAAAGTTAAGCATTTGTTCGAGCTAAGCCAAGCAGTTTCGCTCCCAAACATACTACAGAAATTATGAATCCTGTTTTCAAGAAGTCATACAAATGAAATTTTTCATATTTTACAGCGATCTACAAAGTAAATCAACATCAACTTTATTTATAATGTCTATTATTCTCAGCTTAGTTTTACAGCCCAATCCCGCTACACATACACATAAGTATACTATACATTTCCGGTTCTCACTATATATAATTGAATTGGCTGCTGATATGAAATGCTATTTAATTCACGTGTACATATATATATATATATACATATATATAAATACTTACCTACTTTTCAAATACATGGGTTACGTGAGGTTTCTATTAAATAACACTAACTAAGCACATAAATAATCTTAATGTATCTTTAACTTTTTTGTGTAACAATAGCCCATAAAATAATCGGTTGGCAACCCGCACATATCAAACTATTTACTGTTTAAATACTTTTTTAATCAATTTGTAAATATTTTTTAATGCAATAAAATTTAGAAACAACAATAGAAACCGTGGCAGTTCAATATTCACGAATCAGGATCGTGATACTGCTGCCACTCCTAACAGAGGGACTCATCCACCGTAAGTACCTTTAATGCTTAAATAAAATAAACACTTTACAAATGGTGAACACCCACAGACGGACGCGTCCAACGCTTAAGCCGGCTGGCACAATAGTCTCAAAGGCTCAAGAGTTTGTGGACATATACAGATATCCGCCTTCCCGACCGGATCCACTTTACCCACAGCCTACGCCGGATAAGACGGCTGCCAAGTGCCGTAAAGATGTTTGTTTACTGCCTGATTGCTATTGCGGTGGCAAGGACATACCCGGTGAGTACTAATTAACTGATTAGCTAGAGCGTTGACTACTAATATATTAGACAAGCCGAAGCTAGCTTGGTACTTTTTACCTATTTGGCTATAAAAAATGTCTTACAAATAAATTCACTGCCTAACAAAACATAGGAGGTTTGAATGTATCGGATACCCCACAAATTGTTTTAATTACGTTTGATGATGCCATAAGCACAATTAATATTGATCTGTATGATGAGTTATTTAATAACAAGTCACGCAAGAACCCGAACGGATGTCCTTTGCGTGCCACTTTCTACTTATCCCATGAATGGACGGATTATGGCATGGTCCAGGATTTGTACTCTGATGGACATGAAATGGCCTCGCATACGGTTTCGTAAGTTGCGATTATCTTTCGCTTCTGTCAGGTCATTTTAACCTAAGAGACATTAACTACATGCGGCAATCATAGTCTTTTATCTTCTCGCCTCTATGTATCTGCTTGGTTTATATTCATATCATGAACTTTATATTTTCTTCTCTACATTCCATCACCCACCACTTCATCAATATTGTCGTCATGGTTGCTAGGCGAACTACCGGTTGAAAGCATACCTCAAATCGTACTGTTGACCTTCGATGATTCCGTAAATGATTTGAATAAACAATTGTATACTGATCTTTTTGAGAAGGGACGTGTGAACCCTAATGGCTGCCCCATAACAGCGACATTCTATGTCTCTCACGAATGGACTGATTACAGTCAAGTGCAGAATCTTTACGCCGATGGACATGAAATGGCATCGCACACAGTGTCGTAAGTAGCAGACTCTCAGAACCTGAGACAAAAACACACGGCGACATAACACAAACACGAAGAACACTAACAAAACGTAGTAAACTTGAAAGGCAACCTATGAAACACTTCTAAAGGGTCCCAATTCCATACTCACAAACGTCAGACATCAAATGGCCATGGTTCTTTTCTAAATCTTACTTTTAAAAATAGCTAGTCAAAATTTGATTACATTTTTCGTCCACAGTCATAGCTTTGGCGAGCAGTTCTCACAAAAGAAATGGACTCGGGAAATAGCTGGTCAACGCGAAATACTCGCTGCCTATGGCGGCGTCAAGCTATCTGACGTAAGGGGTATGCGTGCTCCTTTCCTCTCAGTTGGTGGTAACAAAATGTACAAAATGCTGTATGACTCAAATTTCACCTACGACTCGTCGATGCCGGTCTATGAAAATCGACCTCCATCGTGGCCGTACACTCTTGACTATAAGATCTTCCACGATTGTATGATACCGCCCTGTCCGACACGAAGCTATCCGGGGGTTTGGCAAGTACCCATGGTCATGTGGCAGGACTTGAACGGCGGACGCTGCTCTATGGGAGATGCCTGCTCAAATCCAAGTGATTCAGAGGGTGTAACCAAAATGATTATGAAGAATTTCGAACGTCATTATACCACCAATAGGTAAAGAGGCAAGATTTTTAATAATACTTCTAGGTGTTAAGGAATACTATTTAATACAGGGCACCGTTTGGATTGTTTTATCATGCCGCTTGGTTTACGCAACCGCATCACAAGGAAGGGTTTATAAAGTTCCTCGATGCCATAAACGCCATGCAGGATGTTTGGATCATAACAAATTGGCAGGCTCTACAATGGGTGCGCGATCCAACACCTACGTCTAGGATAAATTCTTTCCAGCCATTCCAATGTGATTACTCGGTAAGTGTTAATCCTTACACTAGTACAAACACGCGTGTCTATTTAAAACCCTTTATGAAACTTAAACTTGTAACACACTTTAGGACCGACCCAAACGTTGCAATAATCCAAAAGTCTGCAATCTGTGGCACAAATCTGGAGTTCGATACATGAAAACATGTCAGCCCTGCCCCGACATCTACCCATGGACTGGAAAATCCGGCATACGTTCATCACGCATCGACAACGAAGTTGAAGAGCCTTCCGCGCAAAACTGAGGATTCTTAATCTAGACATGCCAGTTAAACCACGCCTATGCTATTAGTAACCTACTGTTCGTCTTGATGTGAGCTTTGAACACAGAGGAACAATTGGAATGCAATAGTAGATATTGTCATAAGTAATAGTCCAAAATACGGTATTCACTCGTTGATATGTTCTTTATATTATATTTATACTATAGCCAATTTGTTGAAGGGCATGAAAAAATGTATTTAATATTTTGATGACATGTTACTTAAATTTATTTATTCCCTTATGATAGACTTATGTATGTGTACTGTATATTCCTATAGTTTGCTACTCCCATGGAAATTTGTATAAGTACATTCAAAATGCAATATTAGTATAATACTTTGTACATGTAAAAGTTACTAACGTAATTATAGATTTCCATTTAAATTTAAAAAAGAAAAGCGCGTGTTTTAGGACTTTATAAAACTGAGGGGCAATACTCTTTTTTGTGGTTGATTTAATTTGTGATACATACTTTTTCATCTAAATATGTGTCTCTAAATATGTCAATAATTATCTGAAACCAGGCAGTAAATAATTTTAACATTTTAATAAACAAATGTGTCTAAGCATTTTTTTTTATGTTCAACCTTGTATATAACATTTTAATTAAAATCCGGTGAAGGGGCCTAATAATCTTGGGTATATATATCACTCTATATTTTCTAACTATGATTTATTTTCAGAAAAATTCTTATCATACTATTATAAAACTAAAGATTTTATGTGCTTTCCATGTTACAATATCAAGAGCTCACGAAATCATATATATTATCATTTCTGAATTTATAACATTTATCGCATCATTCTAGCTTAAAGCATGATTTATATCATTTTGACTAACGGTACTATTAAAGAGCTTAAACTATAAGAACTTACGTCTTGAACAGACTTTTTTTAGGCACCTAATGAAATGTATAATCCAATTAATGACCCATTTGTAACGGGAACCGCAGAAAAAAATCAAATCATAATGTCAGACTAGACTAGTAAATCCATGCAAAGTTTTAAGAAATTTGCGAGCCTAGCGAATATTTTAACATTTAAGCTGTTAGTACTCATACGAAAGTATTAGATGGATTTGTAATTCTGCAAACTTAAAATAAAAAATCATTAAGATTAATTAATATTTAATTTAAGTATATTGTATGTATGTGGACACATAAAAAATTGTAAAGCTGAACGCAGTTCAAAAAGTTTAATTTTACCAACGAGTGAATTATGTATTTTGTGCTAATAATTGTAAAACATGTAAAATAAAAAAACAACGTAAGTCAGATAAATTTGCGTTTTGAATTTGCAATCGATAAAACAAATATCTCTGTCTTTAAAACTGTTTGTCCTGAAAAAAGATGTTTGGCTCACTGTTCATGGCTTGCCCTCTAAATCAATTTGACATCTAAGTCCGACAACTCTATTATTTGTCAAAATGCACGTGAAAATAGTACCCCCAAATATCCCATGCAAACAGAGGTCAAAATTTCTCACCCCCATAACTCGGTCAAATCTCATCCGATTTACACGAGTTTTGGCTGTTTGCTCATGGTTTTACCAAAATTTGCTCATGGTCAAAATTCATGTAAAATGGTACCCTCAAATACCCTACATAGGTCAATATTTTCCACCCCTATAACTCGTTCAAAACAAAACCGATTTTGGTCACTATATCAATTTGACATTTAAGTCTCCCTATTCTTGGTCAAAATTCATGTGAAAATGGTACCACCAAATATCCTACACAAGCATAAGTCAATATTTCCCACCCCCATAACTTGGTCATAACTCAACCGATTTTCATAAAGCTTGAAATTTTCTCCAAGGTTTGGCCTCTTAATCAATTTAACATTTAAATCTGGCAACCCAATTTTTGGTCAAAATTCATGTAAAAATGGTACCCTCAAACACCCTACACAGACATAAGTCAATATTTCCCACCCCCATAACTCGGCTAAAAATTAACCGATTTTCATAAAGTTTGGATTTTTCTTCTTGGATTTGCCTCTTAATCAATTTGACATTTAAATCTGGCAACCCAATTTTTGGTCAAAATTCATGTAAAAATGGTACCCTCAAACACCCTACACAGACATGTCAATATTTCCCACCCCCATAACTCGGTCAACACTTAACCGATTTTCATAAAGTTTGGATTTTTCTTCTTGGATTTGCCTCTTAATCAATTTGACATTTAAATCTGGCAATCCAATTCTTGGTCAAAATTCATGTAAAAATGGTACCCTCAAATATCCTACACAAGCATAGGTCAATATTTCCCACCCTCATAACTCGGTCAAAACTTAACCGATTTTCATAAAGCTTGGATTTTTCTTCTTGGATTTGCCTCTTAATCAATTTGACATTTAAATCTGGCAACCCAATTTTTGGTCAAAATTCATGTAAAAATAATACCCTCAAACACCCTACACAGACATAAGTCAATATTTTCCACCCCCATAACTTGGTCAAACATCAACCGATTTTCATAAAGTTTGGATTTCTCTTCTTGTATTTGCCTTTTAATCCATTTGACATCTAAATATGACAACCATATTCTTGGTCAAAATTCATGTAAAAATGGTACCCTCAAACACCCAACACAGGCATGTCAATATTTCCCACCCCCATAACTTGGTCAAACCTCCACCGATTTTCAGAAAGTTTGGATTTTTCTTCTTGGATTTGCCTTTTAATCAATTTGACATTTAAATCTGGCAATCCAATTTTTGGTCAAAATTCATGAAAAAATGGTACCCTTAAACACCCTACACAGACAAAAGTCAATATTTCCCACCCCCATAACTCGGTTAAAACTCAAGCGATTTTCATAAAGTTTGGATTTTTCTTCTTGGATTTGCCTCTTAAATAATTTGACATTTAAATCTGGCAACCCAATTTTTGGTCAAAATTCATGTAAAAATGGTCCCTCAAACACCCTACATAGACATAAATCAATATTTCCCACCCCCATAACTTGGTCAAACATCAACCGATTTTCATAAAGTTTGGATTTTTCTTCTTGGATTTGCCTCTTAATCCATTTGACATGTAAATATGACAACCCTATTCTTGGTCAAAATTCATGTAAAAATGGTACCCTCAAACACCCAACACAGGCATAAGTCAATATTTCCCACCCTCATAACTCGGTCAAAATAAAACCGATTTTCATAAAGTTTGGATTTTTCTTCTTGGATTTGTCTCCAAATCAATTTGACATTTAAATCTTTCAACCCAATTTTTGGTCAAAATTCATGTCTAAATGGTACCATCAAACACCCTACACAAGCATAGGTCAATATTTCCCACCCTCATAACTCGGTCAAAACTTAACCGATTTTCAGAAAGTTTGGATTTTTCTTCTTGGATTTGCCTTTTAATCAATTTGACATTTAAATCTGGCAATCCAGCTCTTGGTCAAAATTCATGTAAAAATGGTACCCTCAAATATCCTACACAAGCATAGGTCAATATTTCCCACCCTCATAACTCGGTCAAAACTTAACCGAATTTCATAAAGTTTGGATTTTTCTTCTTGGATTTGCCTCTTAATCAATCTGACATTTAAATCTGGCAACCCAATTTTTGGTCAAAATTCATGTAAAAATGGTACCCTCAAACACCCAACACAGGCATAAGTCAATATTTCCCACCCCCATAACTTGGTCAAACCTCCACCGATTTTCAGAAAGTTTGGATTTTTCTTCTTGGATTTGCCTTTTAATCAATTTGACATTTAAATCTGGCAATCCAATTCTTGGTCAAAATTCATGTAAAAATGGTACCCTCAAATATCCTACACAAGCATAGGTCAATATTTCCCACCCTCATAACTCGGTCAAAACTTAACCGAATTTCATAAAGTTTGGATTTTTCTTCTTGGATTTGCCTCTTAATCAATCTGACATTTAAATCTGGCAACCCAATTTTTGGTCAAAATTCATGTAAAAATGGTACCCTCAAACACCCTATACAGACATAAGTCAATATTTTCCACCCTCATAACTCGGTCAAAATAAAACCGATTTTCATAAAGTTTGGATTTTTCTTCTTGGATTTGTCTCCAAATCAATTTGACATTTAAATCTTTCAACCCAATTTTTGGTCAAAATTCATGTCTAAATGGTACCATCAAACACCCTACACAAGCATAGGTCAATATTTCCCACCCTCATAACTCGGTCAAAACTTAACCGATTTTCATAAACTTTGGATTTTTCTTCTTGGATTTGCCTCTAAATCACTTTTACATCTAAATATGACAACCCTATTCTTGGTCAAAAATCATGTAAAAATGGTACCCTCAAATACCCTACACAGACATAAGTCAATATTTCCCACCCCCATAACTTGGTCAAGCCTCAACCGATTTTCATAAAGTTTGGATTTTTCTTCTTGGATTTGCCTCCAAATCAATTTGCCATTTAAATCTGGCAACCCAATTTTTGGTCAAAATTCATGTCTAAATGGTACCCTCAAACACCCTACACAGACATAAGTCAATTTTTTCCACCCTCATAACTCGGTCAAAATAAAACCGATTTGCATAAAGTTTGGATTTTTCTCCAAGGCTTGGCCTCTAAATCAATTTGATATCTAAATATGACAACCCTATTCTTGGTCAAAATTCATGTGAAAATGGTACCCTCAAATATCCTACACAAGCATATGTCAATATTTCCCACCCCCATAACTCGGTTAGAACTCAACCGATTTTCATAAAGTTTGGATTTTTCTTCTTGGATTTGCCTCTTAATCAATTTGACATTTAAATCTGGCAACTCAATTTTTGGTCAAAATTCATGTAAAAATGGTACCCTCAAACATCCTACACAGACATAAGTCAATATTTCCCACCCCCATAACTTGGTCAAACATCAACCGATTTTCATAAAGTTTGGATTTTTCTTCTTGGATTTGCCTCCAAATCAATTTGACATTTAAATCTTTCAACCCAATTTTTGGTCAAAATTCATGTCTAAATGGTACCATCAAACACCCTACACAAGCATAGGTCAATATTTCCCACCCACATAACTCGGTCAAAACTTAACCGATTTTCATAAAGTTTTGATTTTTCTTCTTGGATTTGCCTCTAAATCAATTTTACATCTAGATATGACAACCCTATTCTTGGTCAAAAATCATGTAAAAATGGTACCCTCAAATACCCTACACAGACATAAGTCAATATTTCCCACCCCCATAAATTGGTCAAACCTCAACCGATTTTCATAAAGTTTGGATTTTTCGTCTTGGATTTGCCTCCAAATCAATTTGCCATTTAAATCTGGCAACCCAATTTTTGGTCAAAAATCATGTAATAATGGTACCCTCAAATACCCTACACAGACATAAGTCAATATTTCCCACCCCCATAACTTGGTCAAACCTCAACCGATTTTCATAAAGTTTGGATTTTTCTTCTTGGATTTGCCTCCAAATCAATTTGCCATTTAAATCTGGCAACCCAATTTTTGGTCGAAATTCATGTCTAAATGGTACCCTCAAGCACCCTACACAGGCATAAGTCAATTTTTTCCACCCTCATAACTCGGTCAAAATAAAACCGATTTGCATAAAGTTTGGATTTTTCTCCAAGGCTTGGCCTCTAAATCAATTTGATATCTAAATATGACAACCTTATTCTTGGTCAAAATTCATGTGAAAATGGTACCCTCAAATATCCTACACAAGCATATGTCAATATTTCCCACCCCCATAACTCGGTCAAAACTTAACCGATTTTCATAAAGCTTGGATTTTTCTTCTTGGATTTGCCTCCAAATCAATTTGCCATTTAAATCTGGCAACCCAATTTTTGGTCAAATTTCATGTCTAAATGGTACCCTCAAACACCCTACACAGACATAAGTCAATATTTTCCACCCTCATAACTCGGTCAAACATCAACCGATTTGCATAAAGTTTGGATTTTTCTCCAAGGCTTGGCCTCTATATCAATTTGATATCTAAATATGACAACCCTATTCTTGGTCAAAATTCATGTGAAAATGGTACCCTCAAATATCCTACACAAGCATATGTCAATATTTCCCACCCCCATAACTCGGTTAAAACTCAACCGATTTTCATAAAGTTTGGATTTTTCTTCTTGGATTTGCCTCTTAATCAATTTGACATTTAAATCTGGCAACCCAATTTTTGGTCAAAATTCATGTAAAAATGGTACCCTCAAACACCCTACACAGACATAAGTCAATATTTCCCACCCCCATAACTTGGTCAAACATCAACCGATTTTCATAAAGTTTGGATTTTTCTTCTTGGATTTGCCTCCAAATCAATTTGACA